GCATTTCTTTGGCTGGGGGCACGGATCCAGGGCTGGTGGCAGAGGGGGGAACTGTTTTGGCGGTTTGAGGCTTGGTAGGGGTGGTGGGGCTGGTAAGGCCAAGGTTGGCCAGGGCATCCAGAGTCCCATCTGGATCCACCATCACATTGATCACTGAGACAAACATAGAGATAATAAGTAATATCTTATCATGTCTTTTTTTTTTTTTTACTTTGATTGTTGTTTAGTCATTAATATTTAATGATTTCATGCTTGTCCAAGTATAAGTTCACACTTGTTATTAGGTGTGAAGTTTGTCTTCTACTTTACCTTGAAGCTGCTTCTCAACTCTCTTCAGTTCAAGCAGAATTGAGGAAATCTCCTACAGATTTAGAAAACAAGCAAATACAAACAAAGTTATTACCTTCTCATATCAGTGCATTTTTCTTGTCATCAAATACTGTTTGGACAAACACTTTTCTGTACCTTGTTGGAGGTTTTCAGGAGCGGTATCTCACTCTCCGATCGCAGTTTATTCTCTATTTCATCCCAGTTCCTGTCCTTATCCTTAAACAAAATCCTGAAAATAAAGAAAGAAACACACAACAGGACACAATGTAGATTTTTGCTGAACAAAGCAACAGAATGGAACACTGAGGAATAACTACACTGTAAATACAATGTTACATTGTCACACAAAGTTATAATATCACAAAGCATAATCACCTGACTTTTCCTGCTGTTTTGTCAACAGAGTGTCTGATCTTAGTGGACAGCTGAGACACTGAATTGAGCAGCAGGCTGTCCAACACCGCCTGGATATGCAGATGAGAAGGACTTAACGGTGACACATGACAACCTGACAGCGATTACAGGTATTTCTGTACAAGTCTCCATGGTGCTATATTTTTGATGCCATGCTCTTTGTGTTGTGTCTCACCTCCTCTCGGTTCCATGTGCGTCTCCTCAGAGCTCGGGGCTCCAGGCTGTCAGGCGCACGGGGACGGAGCTCCACTGGCTTACCATTGACCTCCGGTGCCCTATTGGTCGAAATCACAGGCGGGATCTTCCTGAAGTTGAGGCTCTCATCAAACACCCGATCCACCAACTGGGCAAAGATAGGGGGGAGATGTGGAAGAGAGAGGGCAGGAAAATACAATTTAAAACCTGAAGAAATGTGTTTCCAGTGTTATTCCATGTTTATTTAAGTTAAAGCAAAGATTTGTGAAAAATGAAGAAATGACAGAATTAGTTCTGTTAAGTCTAAGCCTGTGTCAAGGCAGAAATAGATTTTAATCCTACAGTCTTAAAATAAGTACAGTACACTCTCTCATGGTCAAAATATGAATGAACTAATCAAGGAAAAGAAAGTGGCAGTGAGAGAATGAAAAATGAATTCCTCTTACAGCAGATAAAAGCCACTAAGCTACAGAGAAGCAGCTATGTTTATCAGCAACACAAGAGGGATGACAAAGGCGCAGTGGAAGCACACACAGAAAGACAATGATAGAAGAAGAATCACGGGCACCTGTCTCATGCTCTCCTGTATGTCCGGCTGCATGGAACGTGCAGGGCCTACCTCTTCCCGGGTGTCAATAGCTGATCCCGGAGTGGTGG